ATGAAGATTCGTTATGAGAAATTACAGACCAGTCATTTTGACTACTTTGATAGTTCTAGTGTAAAGTCAGTTTAACAATTACTGAAATATTTATAAGATATTGTAAAGTATTTATTAGAATGATTCTGACTGCTCTGAACGGTTTCTAATGTTAGAAAAATCCCACTATGAATTTCCATAATTCAATGTCATGAGTAGACTGCGGATTTTTAGGCAAAATAATATTTTCTAAAGCAATTCATGCAGAGAAGAGCAAATGTATAAATTTCTTTCTTTTCTGAAATATCATACTGTGTTGAGAATAAACTAGAAAACTTACTGGATCTGATAAAAGTTTTCTCCTTTATTGTATTTTTTATAGGCTATAAATGCATAAAATCCGCAGTCTATTCATGAGTATACATTGGTTGAAAAATATGCGACAGAAATTATTTCTACGATTCGAATTTTGTTTGGCGTGAAACGATCGAGTTATCCTCTTATTGTTAATTCTGGACTAACAAAGCTCTTATTGTTAGTTTCGTTAATAGATTAATACTAGATTGTCGCTGAAGTTCTAATTCTAAAAATGTATTAAATAAAAGGTCAGATTCATAAAAAAAATCGCATTCCGAATTATACTGTACATTTTTTTACTATTGCCATAATATAAATAACAATTCTTTTTTCACATGTAATAAAATGCAAGAAAATTCCGCAACAATATAATAGTACAGTAAGTTTTGGACTTCATAAAATTTATAACGTTTAAAAATATTATGTCCTTTTAAGGAGCTCCTTTCAAATCGTAAAATCCATTTCAATCGTAAAAAACATTTTCACTATGTATATACATATAGATAGTTGCACGTTACATCTGACTTCCACAATGACAAATTCGCGTATAATGCAGTTTTCAGTTTTATAATTGTCACTAATGAAACTATAACGATGCGTATCTGAGAATAGTGGCAGGTCAGTTGTTGCTTCGTGAGCACGCAATAAAGGTTTATTAAGCATGCTAATGCGCTGTATGCTTTCTCCGTTAATAGTTACGTCTTGGTATGAACGAGCAGAATCAACGAGCGACATAGTATCCACTTAAAATGCAAATTTAGTCGTCTCGTGTTTCCCATCCGAAGATGACCGTATTGAATTGTATTAAAACGTGACGTTTTTGCAGATCCTTTTATCCGATACACTTTATAATCTTTCGATAAAATAGAACTGACAATTTCCTGATTCTCATCTGAAAATGAAATTCGTAAGTCACGTAAATATTTTAATTTAAGTATCACTAACATATATACATTTTCATTTACCTGGCTACCTGGTTCCTCGGTCTGTGAGTCGTATAGTCTGGGATCTTATTTCTGAAAGTATATGGACTCGAATCGCTGAATCTAGGGAATGCTCCACTTTGGAACCCGGAGGGAGGTTTGGAAACCCCTTTATAGGCAAACTGGGTTCGTAAATCCAAGAATCTTCCGGCTAGAGTTCTCTATCCTTGTATTGGCCCAATTGGAGTCTGCTAATCTTAGCCAGATCCGATCTGTCTCTGTCAATATACGAGCAGGCTTGTTAAGTCATTTGATATAAATAATCGGTCGATTCTTGTATTCAGTATTTAGAATTTAGATATTTGATTGAGCAGCAGATGTGTTGTTTCGATTTTAAATACTTTCATACACGTCACATATAAATATGTAGAGTTTCATGAAAGTTAACGTGCATGATTTGCACAACGTGCATTGTCGTTGTCGTGAATGATCCCTTGGAGCTCTAAGAATGTTAATTTTTCAACACTTGTGTTATTTACACACTTTTCGTGTAGTTTAAGTAGTAGTATCGACCTACTTAATGGTACAATTATCATTGGACTTCAGTTATGTAAAATATCCTTAACATAAGAAGTGTCCGATACATATTTTTAATGTCATTTTGTTTCAATGTTAGTCTTTCATTTTCAGTTTTTCGTTAACATCAGCGATACGTTGAGTAACTATAGTTGTGGAAAATTGAAGGTAGTGAATGTTTCGAAAATTATTATTTTTTCACCAAATTTAATTATTTAATAACAAACTGAATACCTAAGAGCAAAGTAAAAGTTTCACTCGTCGAAGATGAAAAGTCGTGACTTTAATTCCATCCTCGAAATCACGTTTCACTGTTATCAATACTCTCAGCCGTATCTTAAGTACTGCAAAAATGATAAGAATCCCAGGATTCACATGTAACCACCTTTCAAATAGATATTTGCGATGTGAGTTAAATATAGATATCAAATACCAGAACAAAATATAAACTACAAAACTTCCGATAAGTTTCCTTTTTTACATGATAGTACTGACTTCTGATTGGTAGCAAACGGGTTATATTCATATAAAAATATCTATAACTCGTTATCTTATTCTGTAGCACAAGAAACACGAAATGCGGTCATAGGATGTGCCATACCTACACAAGGTGTCCTATTTTACATTCTCCACGGATTCGTCTCCGAATTTGGCTATAGCTTTGAAAAATGTTTCAAATAAAAATGTTACAGTTTTAAGGACATACTTTACGATTAATACAAAAATTTGTTAGCTAGTACGGTTACTGAAATTTATCTATGCGTAACTTTAAAATTTTGCAAAGAAAACTTTATTAAATTCTATTTTATTTTGTTTTACATACCTGCATATGCAATAAACGCATAAAGCTGAAATCTAGAAGTAACAGAACCTTTTAAATATATACTTTGGATTGTACAGTAAGAAACTTATAATAACAGTTAATGAAATCTTTTATTTCTCGGCCACATGCGAAAGCTAATGCATACCAAAGCAATTATTCTGCATCAATAACAAGCCCCAAAACATTCTCATTAATGCATGGAGACAATTAACCTAATTAATTCACCGATTCTGGGAACTATGTGCTACTTTTACCACACCTCTAGTAAACTGAAGATTATAGCATATCAGATCGCATTCATTACATATATCTTCTTTCAGTCTCGGTTTATTTAGACCCGAAGTACCCGGAATTTCTAAGTTCACTAGCTACGAATCGTTATTTCATGGATTTTAAGAAAGTATTACATTTCAAGGAGTTGCATGATATTGAGAACGACCAGATACATGATAAAATCTATCGTCAGTCTCAAGTGCAAATTGGAAAGTCTTAATTATATTCTTATTTCGAGTGTATCGATAACGTCAATCGAGGACTGAAATTTCTGCATGCAAGATAAGGTTTTGTGTTTATTTTGAAACAAGCTGTTTATAGCAATTTACATACATACGTCTTATCAATTCCATAATTAATCTTTCGTTCAACACAATTCGGTGCACTCTAAACGAAATAATTAACCGTGATTTGAATTACCATAATTATTCTTTAAAATACTGGCACCGCTTCAATAAAAGTAATTTCAAAATAATTATTGAAATAATAAATTGAAAGTTTATGGGAAATAGTTACTATACAGTCGTCTGAAGCAAGGAGAGAGTACAGTGAAGAACATCGACAGAGAAGGAAACTTCACATAATCAGGATCAATTTCAACCACTCAGTTGCAACCATTGAATAGAGTGCAATTGATTGTTCTAGTAATCAGTTGCAAGGATTTCTTAACCGAACGCTGTTTAATACTTAAATTCAATTGAACAAACGGCCTTTTAGTTACACAATTTCACCATTCGCGAGTCTATTTTTGTTCAATTAATCGAACGGATTCGGACAGTGAGTAAGAGAAAATACAACGTTCAAAATCGGAACAAAAAAAAATATTTTTTTGGCGTTCTTTTGTGACGTGATGTATGCGATCATTTAAATTTCATGTTACTTATCCATTGGATAAAATCATAAGCTTCCCTTTAATTATAAACATGAAGTAAACAATTTTATGTCCCTAGATCAAATATTTGGAAATTAACCAACAATGTACACAATCCTCCAAATGTTCATTGCCGTTCCATCCATACGATAGACAATCATTAATCGGCATAAATTATTGAAGCACGTGTGTGCAATCATCTCATACTATACATACTCAACGTATGAATTAACAAAATCTTGTCGCTCCTAACAGGATTTTTTAGTCTATATTTCCTTATGTTCATTAATATTCATCATTTATTAATATGTTTTATCTGCAGGATTTGTGAAAAGATAGTCTTTAAAAAGTGTTGCTTCATTTTAGATTAATTGTTCATAAATAGAAAAATTTATACAGATAGTCGTTAAAAAGATTTTAAAAGCAACTCCCTCGCTCGTATTGCAGACAATCAGTCCATTCGTCCTAGCGACACTCCCTCCGTTACACAAGAAGCCTCATCGAACCATGTAACTACATAGGATAAAAATGAATTACGTCACTATCAATAATTCTTTCCGCGAGAGTACATAAATAGTCTGTAACGCCTTAAACGGGATAACCTGTGTACCGACGCCGAAGAAAAAATCGAGAGAACAAAGAAATGCCGAAGCGGGAAGTCTAGTTGAACCGGTGTCGTTGCTCCGTGATCCATGAAAATGGAATCGGAGAAAGTAGGATTTTGTAGAGTCTATGAATTTCGCGGACGAGAAACAAACGGTATCGCTTTCTGTACTATTCCTGCTCTCCCTTTTCATTCAACGTTGCTGACATAGTTGAAGTTCGTTATTATTTTTATAATTACTTACTTCTACAGTTCGAATGGTCTCGAATGGAAAAAACTTAGACGACGTGGAAAACTTGTTTAGAGCAAAGAATTATTGATTTTATAATTACCGAATCAAATATTTTCTCGAAATAAATTATATTCCTGCATAATAATAAATAATAACAAATTATAAGTACTGCATTCGTTTTGTGTTTAGTGTCGACTGAAACGAAGTACGAAATGAATTATTTTCCTTACAAATGTAACCTGATTTCTTATCGACCTATTCGGTATATTTTACACAATTTACCTCTTCTGTGACCATTCAAACCGTGACAAACCCTTCATGCATGAACGAATAAAATACGGGTTTATTTATTTTTGTTGCAGAGATATTGTGCAGAGAGAACGAAATGGTTGGAATTTAGCACAGAAGCAATGTGGTCTGAACAAGTAAGTCAAATATGTACTATTTTAAATAATTACTAATACATAATTAATATAATACTATTTTCAATAATGACCTAACGTAGTCATCGAAAACATAATACAGTAAAAGTCCCCCCCCCCCCCCGCCCCGCACCCCAGTGGTGGGCATGAAGTAGAAACTTTCACGAGGAACGTCCTATCCAACTTTCATGGAGTCTTTACTGTAAAAGGAAAAGTCAAAAACAAGTATGTATGTATTTCTTTTTGTAACAGTCTCTAGGTTTCTAGGTCAAGTCAAAAGGTTTTTAATCTTATTATTATTAATATTATTAACGTCTTTAAAATAAAGATGTATAGAATTACGCGTAAAAGTATTAGGGTGAAGTTCAGTGATATTATTATACATAAGCTCAGTACTACATGTATATTAAAAATAGGCCAAAACTCTAAAACTACGAATAACGAAGAGAATAATGATCGGGCATATGTACCCTCGCGAGCAAACTCGGCTTCCGCTAAGGGAAAAAGTGACGTAGGAGAAGGACCTCTTACCACTTGGTAAACTTATTCCAATTACTGAAATAAATGTTAAATTGAATGTTAATTTGACACAGATTTCAATAATTCCTGAAACCAAATGGCAGAAGGTCCTTCCTCTACGTCACTTTTTCCCCTAGTGGAAGCCGAATTTGCTCGTCAATGTACACCTACGAGCACATTCCACTTCCGCTAAGGGAAAAGGTGGCGTAAGAAAAGGGACTATCACTTGGTAAAACTTAAAAAAATGTTAAATCGAATGTTAATTTGGCATAAATTTTAGTAATTCCCCATACCAAGTGGTAAAAAGCCCTTACCCTACGCCACTTTTTCCTCGTATGGAAGCCGAGTTTGACTTAGTTAGTAAGACTGTTGTAAATAAAGCAATAAATATTAAGAATTTAACGGCGACGCAAGTTAAGCCCTAATAAAAACTGGCGTGCAATACTATTTGGATGTATTTACAACCCTCTTGTAACAAGAATATGACCTTCATATTGGTAGGCTAAATATACTGTGACAATTGCACGTTATTTATTGTTAGATAATGCACATACCGTGTGCATGTTTTATGATCAAAATAACGAACGCTCGTGGCACCTGTAAAACAAGTTCTACATTCTACATCGAAAGAAATAAACACATTTGTATGCGTAGTTTCGAAGGCACTTGTATTTTTCTCGTTAAAAGTTCAATGTTAGGTTGGGTTCCGGTTCATTGTAACAATGTCAAACCTCGCTGAACACGAGAAAATAGCGATCATTATCACCACACCTACCGCGGGAAATCGCGACTGAGCGATGTCCGTAAAATTGTCTCGTATATTGGTTTTAGACTTCCCGCGTTCAATTAGATCGATGCCACTGTTTCGAGTTTTCGTAATGTACGGTGTATACGTGTAAATGTATTATTATTGTAACTTTAAATTATAACTTTAGCCTTTCACGTCATTTTACTCCCATTAACAATTCAACTGACTTATTAAGTTAATAATATCAACAATTTAAAATTTATAAACTGCCAATCACAATCCGAGAAATTCGATAATGACCAATAGCGTCTCTTCGTTTGCATTTTCACCGATTCACGTGTGATCATTGCATCTAGTATGTGCGTTACCAGCGTCACTGGTGTGTTATGAAGTTTTGAAGAGTGAACTCACGATTTGAAGTGGATTATTATTTTTCACGTCTCGAAAATGAGAAAACGACAAGGAGCAAAGTATAATCGCGAACAATCGTAAGTGCTACATTTCTTTAACAAAGCCGATAAGCGTCTTAACCTATTTCGTTACGTATAACGCAAAGACAAATTCAAACTGACAGCGTCCACCGTGGTATTACCGAAGTCCCACTGTTGATTATTATACTGACAATATTTTATCACTTCTGACTACTTCTAACGTTTTTGTTATTTCGGTACTACATATGTGGTTAAGGTAGCTTCCTATTATTGTGCTTCATTGCTTGAATATCCCACACAAATATTGACTATCGTTTGTTTTGTATAAATTACTTGAATACTCGTATGAATTTGCTTACTTTAAAATGATCTGAACTATCGTATACATACTTCGTAGTATGTATACATTGTATACTGACGTGCAACTCAGTTTCCGCTAGGGGAAAAAAAGTGTTGTAGGTGAAGGTCCGTATACCACTTGGTAAATTTAATTCAAGTACTGAAATACATATTAAACCGAATGTTATATAATTTCGCATAAATTTCATTAATTTCCGAAACTAAGTGGTAGGAGGCCCTTCTCCTACGCCACTTTTTTCCCTATCCGAAGCCGAGTTTGCTCGTGAGGGTACACAATATTGTTGACGTTAATGCTGCTGTATAATATGGTTTTACGTATTTAAACAAAAGTATACATACTCACGTATAAATTAAACGCGCTAAATGTGAAACGATAATAAGCATTATTAAGTGGACAACAGTGTTTCTCATACTAGTCAATTAGTTCCATAAACAAATAGCTTTTTTACTATTTGTTAGTGACTCTTATCGCTTTCGAAGATAATATACACGTAGTCCTTGCGGTAAGAATCAATTAAAAATTAAACATCGTTACTTCATTTAAACTATCGTTTGCAGGAAAGCAGTTATAAATAAATTTCGTATGTCTTTTCCTAAAAATCTAAAATCACCAAAAGTTTATGAAATGACCGTCTTAAAAACACGAAAGGGGGAGGTGGATTTCTTACCGTTTGTATCGGAAATCCAACGGTACTTATTGTTTTAAATAGTTTTATTAATATGTTCAATTTGACTTGACGGATCAGGTACTGTGTTCGTATAGGGTGTTACGACTGGTGGGTCAGTATACAATACAGTTTTTGACACAAATATGTAGTTACAATATTGTACATCATTCTGTATTCAATGTTAGTATATCCCACGCACTGTAGGGGTAATATTCTTACAAGGATTAAAGGTAAGAAGATAACGTCACAGAAAATTTGTTAGAATAGCTTTCTAAACTATCTGTTAAAGTTTTTGCAGAAATGAAATTGTGTTCAAGCTTGCTCATTGGAAGACAGGCCTTGTTTCCCTCTTGCTGACAACAAGAGGTAGAAATAGTAAGGTGCGAGTAAGAGGGAACAAGATAGAAGCTAGCCAATGGAACGATCGTAAATCTTGAACACTGCTCTCTATAACCGCGTCGGTAGTCCCAGCCGGTGCGTCTATAATATGTTGACCACCCAGCTGTGACTGGTCGGCGGGAATGGTGGGGGGCGGGGGGGCAGTCAGAGATCGGCGAATTGTATGTATATGTATAACTGGGATTACATACTGCTTTCCGAGGCATCCGAGTTTCGTCTAAACCAGTAACGTCATTTGATCTGTAGAAATAAAAATCCGCGCCTTATGAACTCTATGTCTCGTTTTGACGCCGATCGGTGTCATCGATGTTCAACGTGATAAAGAGGGAATTTTGTATGTCACATTTTGTGTAACTCATACTGAATACTTCGAATGCTTTTTATTAGCTCTGTGCGATTATAGAGAGAGAATTTCATACTTCACATTTTGAGTGACTCGTACTGAATACTCTGAATGCTCCTCATTCCAGCGAATCGTATCGCAACGCTATACAAGCATTCATAGATCGCAGACGGTGTTCAGACGATGTGGATCCAGAAGCACCATGTAGTCCTGACAAAACGAGAGCTGATCTCGTGGCCAAGAACAATAACAACAAATACAACAATGAAAGGAAATCTCAGGAATCCAAGACTGTATTACGAAGCGTACCGTATGTACCAGCTTCAGAGATTTTTGAAATCGGTTGGATAGCGGGCACCGAAGATCGTTACCTCGAACTGATTTTTGCCGAGTGGCAAAACACCAGGGTTTCTCTGAAGAGGCACATTCATCCGGAATGCAAAGACGCAGTGAAAGCTGATTTGGATGTGCTACTGTAAGTAACGGTCGATATTATTATGTACATTGTTGTTAAAATTATAGAAAATATTTTTTTTAACTATTATTGTTTGATATTAACTTAATTGCTTCCTCAATTTATTTAGTTAAGAGTGATTATGATGTTCAACAGTTGTTGTATTGTAAACGGAAGTTTTAACCCATTGCGAGCGAATGTTGCCTCAGGTTTTAATTCATAGAGTCGAAAATTGTTGCTATGGCGGCAAACGTATAATTTGATTATTTAAATAAGAAGAATTAAACATTACGTATGTTCCTATTCTTAATACCTAAATTTTCACTTGCATAATATTGTTTAATATGGAAAATATCTTCGACATTTAAAGAGTCAGCAAAGGGTTACAGCTTAACGGGTACAATAAAATACTTGTTGCAAATAATTAACAAGTACACTGTAATTGCTCATATAAATCTACATTTTTATAAACTACTTCATAGAGACAAGACTTAAGGGAATATTCAATTTTTCTATTAAAAGTTTTCTTAGGTCAGAAATAAAGTGTACAATTTCGTTAAAATTCATTAAAGCTTATGTTTTGCCGGTTTTTAAGAAAATAACAAAATTAGTCTCTTATATTCAAGACGAAAGTGTTCTGAATAATTTGTTAATTACTGTTCTTTGTGATTATCTTTCAGGGAAATTCCACATCCGAACGTGCTACTGTTAATGGGCATCACTAACACGGACGACCACGGTCTAGTCACCATTTTCGAGTCCGTCGATTGCACTCTTTACCACTACATACACGAGCAGGGTGAACGAATATCGATACTAAGCATCGCGAAATGCGTCGGAAGACTGTCCGATGCTTTAAGGCATTCCCATGTGCTCGGCTACGTGCATAGTGCCATTAGCTCACATTGCGTCTATCTGGCTTCCAGTGGCGTCGTGAAACTCGGCGGATGGGAGTTGGCTATGCACCTCGATAACGTAAGTAGGCAAACTCAATCTTTTCTATCGTGTATTATCAAGTTTCCTTCTGTCAAGGGAACAAAAACGTATTTATCGATAACAACATATTCGCGGTCATGATGACGATCCGTGGTAATCGACATTGTCTTTTTCATTCGTGGTACACGTTACATTTCATACATACATATATTGAACCGTAGGATAACATGCGCCTCTGCATATTTGATTATGGCTGTTAGGCAAAAAATGTTTGCAGATTAACTTCCAGAAACATGAATTGGATAGAAATAAATTTTCTCTGTCGGGAGTTCATTTCATTTATTATATTGAAATGAAAGTGACTCGGGAATATTTTCCATAGACTTTCCTATTCGGTGATGTGGGACGATTAAAACATAAGTTAAAATATTTTTAAAAACCGGACAAAAACTTCACAAAAACAAAAAGGAATGAAACCATGTATTTACACACGCCGAATCAGATAATTGCTGATTGTTTATCGGGTATTATATAATATCATGATCATTTATTTTAATTGGTGAACTTGATACTTATCTTGTAATTTATAAATTACACTGCACCAGTGACTTCTACTGTTTGTAATGTATTCTGCCCACTGTATAGTCACACAATAGTTAAAGAAATATCATTTTTACTTACTTGAAACATATAATATGTACATTAATAATAATTATCAATTAATATATTTATATTTATGATTGAATTTCGATGTTTGTCCCAAATTCTAACATTCGGCCGTACTGTGCGATTGTACTACATATCAATTAATCCATTAATTTTTTGTGTTTCGAAAACTGGCATTTATAGTTTGATTTTCGAACAGACGATCTGATTGTTAAAGATAGCACACAATCAGTTGAAATTGTGTGGATACGGCGTCATATCCGTTTTTCCATTGGCGCACCCAACGGTACTTCAAAGCAGGAAATTGTCGGCGTTGTTTCTCACAAAATGTTCATTTTTGAATAAATTCACTGTACCATGACATTCTTAATTGCATCCACTGACTGAACCGTAGAAATTCACGTAAATCACAGACAATAGACTGTCAACTCTGCCGTGAACATTATTTTTGGACCGATGATACGTCTCGAATATATTTTTTTTTATACACTTTGTTATAATTATTTTCATTCCATAACAATCTTATTGCCTATCACAAAAACATTTACGCTATATTTTTATATTTTAGTATATATTTTTAGAAATTTTTTTAGTAGATATAGTGTACTCATAAAACTGAAAAAAACTGTATTAAATATAGTTAATGGACAGAATAATGTATCTGTGATTTAGTACTGTTTTTAATTGCATATTGTTTCTAAGTCACTGTTTTCAACGTTCAATTTTTTATCCTTAAATTGTTAACATTTCGAGTAATATACAAGCAAATTAAAGCAAACGATGTGTCCATTAAATTGTTGCACAAAATAGACTTTTAAACATTTTAATTTTTGTTTTAATCAGATTAATATGCTTTTTATAAATTCATTTTAAATAACTTTGGACTAATTTTGTTGTCGAAAGAAAAATTATATCACGTAAATAATAAAACGCAAATGTAAAGTGAATATTTAGACTGCAATTGCAGTAATTTGTTGATAATTTTCATTTATAAAATAATAGTTTAACACACAAATCACTGAGAACTGTCACTTTCCGTGGCGAATAATGCAAAGGAAAGTCCACACAAGAAATCAATAATGAGAAAAATCTTCAGTAGTATAATGTGCGTATACAGCTTTGGAAATGAATTCTGTGAATTTTACTTAATATTCAGTGAACTTTTACACTTGGTTCTCACTAATTTTCTTTTCACAGGCACAATTAATATTGTTATATTTCGTAGTGTATTGAATATTCAATATTGAATGCAGTGAAAGTGTATTAGAGATTTAATTAATCGTATACAGGATATCTCACTTATAATGAACTTCTAAATTATTTTCACTGTTATTGAAAGAAAAAGCAATATGCAAACAAATGTCGATGACCTTGAAATAACCTTCACGATGAGCTCAGGGGGATTTTATTTTATTATCATCAGATGCACATCCTCAAACCGTGTATAATTCTTTCAGTAATTTTTTTATTTTCGATACCGACAGAAACAATTTAGGTGTTGTTTCACAAATTAGGTTCTGTATAATACAGAAGGTTTTAGAATTTTCATAAATTGTATTTCTTCGATGAATCATCTAAATATCTTCTCAGTATATCCAGTTGATACATTTGTAATATCAGTCCTTTGCATAGTAAAATATGTGAAATAATAGACAAAATTACAGGGAATTTGTTTGCTTTTCAGTCATTAAATAAATTTGGTGTGCATTTTGCAGCTTTAAAATCATTATCCAGTATGATTTGAATGTTTACCCTTACTCTTTACATGATTACTAGACTGTAGGTCTTATAGTTATGCTTCTATATTTTTTTTTCTAAAAAATTTAACGTAATCACTTGAACAAAGTCTTAAAGAACATGCGAGTTTGGTTTCAGTTCCTGATTTAGTTCCTATAATATTTGACTGTACTTTATGTTTTTATAGATTAATAAATATACAAAGTTTATATAATTATAGGAATATATAGAAATTACATCAAAATGTTATTAAATTGCACCAGTTTTCTTATTTTATTGTGCTGTGCATACTTGTGCTCTAAGCTACATAGATATAAGTGCATAAGATCCGCAGTAACTAACTGTGGGACATTTCATTTTGCATTCTGTGTAACGTTAAAAGATATAAGTCTGTCAAGATGATTGAAAACTCGATTTTTTTTATTCCATTTTCCTCAAATTCTAAGTCGAAATTTAATGAAATAACAAAGCCACAGAATCTTGAATAGAATATTGCTCAAGTAGAAACAGGAGCAAGAAACATTTATGGGTGTACTATATTAACAATGAATTGTTTTTAAAAAAATAAGAAAGTAAAACAATAGTTTTTTCAAACTAAAAATTAACTTCGCTATTAATGATCTGAAGCAAAATCATTGCGATGGAGTCAAAAATAATTTCCGCCGCCTGTGACTAACAATTCGTGAATAGTAATTAAAAAAATAATAATAATAACAAAAATTAAGAGTCACTTGTCCTTGCCACCAGAAACAAATTTACAAAAGATAGTGGAAGTTATTCATGACTTGACCCAATGCGAAGTTTGAGCGCACTAACTTTATTCTTTATTTATTTTAGCTTGTTTTGTAGTTTTTGCTTATATATTTTTATTTCATAAGTTTTGTTATGATTTCACTGTAGCCGAAAGTAAACAGGGAATACGAGGAACGTTTAAGAAACGAAATTTTCCGTTGGCAAGCGCCAGAACTTTTCGAGAGTTACGAGCCACGCAAAGAGAGCGATGTATATGGACTCGCCATGTTGATTTGGGAAATGTGCACAAGTAAGTGTTCAACTGGATATTATCAATCCTCATATTCCCGAATTTGTTACAATTACTTAAATAGATCATTCAAGCTTGAAAGCTAAATTATTTATCTCTTTCCTTCTTAACTTTAATATTTTTAGCGTATTTATTTTTTTCATGTATTATTTTACATCATGTAACAAATCTAGATTTTGATTAATTCATTGCAGAATATATATTTCTTCATACATCTCAAATCAAATCGTAAAGGACTTACAACATCGTCAATTTTTTCTGTTGCTTATTACGCTCAACTGATTATTATTCGTTTCTGAGAGATCTGTAGTAGGTTGAATAGAAAGTTTTCGTATTTTCCATAGGAACTCACTATAATATAGTTATTCTTTACCCTTAGTAACTTCATTTAATATTCTATCATTTGCTGAACTGTCTGGTTGTTTTCTTATTGCAAAAATCGTCCAAAAATATCAGTTAATAAAATATATAGTGGAAGCATATTGTTTTATGGATTTCGGGGACGCACTACACATAAAATCATTTATCAAGTATATACAGAGAGTGTTTCTAAGATGTAAACGTAGCAAATGTGATTTTATCAAATCGGAAGATGCTGGTGTGCACGATGCACACCAAATATTCTGGGCGTCCGAAGGCAATAGATGAAGGTGATTCACAGACAATTGCCACAAATCGCCCCCATATTTGAAAACAGTTGCCATAAGATAATCACGTAAAAACACTCCATTTACCCTAACGTACTGATAAAATTGAAACGAATTGGGATTAATACTTTCGTGGTCAATGACGTAAGTAGGTTCTGCAATATTTCCGCCCATAAGATCGCGCTTTTTTGTTCCCAAATAATTTTATCGCAATCCCCTACATTCTAATGTACTGATAATATTGAAAAGAATTGGGATTAATACTTTCGTGGTCAATGACGTAAGTAGGTTGTGCAATATTTCCCCCCATAAGATTGCGCTTTTTTGCTCCCATATCATTTTACCACAATCCCCTACATCCGATGAAACTGCTAGCCATGCCAAGATAGAAGCCAATCGCTAACAACTAAAAATGATCGCAAAATCATGTTAATTGCTCTATAAGATCACGCATCCATAACTGAGCGGGTGCGATCTTATAGGGAAAAAATTGTATTACTTACGTCACTTTCAAACTCAACCCTTTACATTTTGTCTACCACGTTGATCGTCTATCAGTAGGAAGATTGATAAAATAATTGTTAAACCAGTATTACTTTCTAGTAACATTATTATACAATGCAATAGTAATATTGTGTAGATTGCTTATACTGTTTCCACATATTAAATCTTTTAATGATAAAAATTCAATGCACTGCAGAAATGATCGGTATTACGAACGTTAAAAAAATAGGATTTCGTTTATCTAAATTAAGTTCCTTTGAAACAGACAAGGTAATAGTTTCATACACACGAAATTTTACGGCTATCGTGCATTAATGGGAAAGATGAAAAATGACTCGAAGGTTTCGAACGAAGTTTCGGTATTCGTGGAATGCGTTACACAGATTTCTTTAGGTGAACCTGAACTATTACGAGATTGACCATTAAACACTAGAAACCCCACTAGGATTCCGGTATAAAAATGAAACTGGTTTATAACCGATAAGGAAACGAAATCACATTCACCGTGATTTCGACAGATTCCACGAAAGGCGAATTTTTTCGGACGCCTAACTGCATCACAAAGACCAACATTTTGTTTTGGTATCGTTCTTGTAATATACAGGGTGTTCCCAGATGAAACCGAATAATTTTACCAGTATGTTTGGTAGGTCATTCTAAATCAGAAAAGTCATATACACTGTTGGCCTTGGACCACTCGTTCTTGATTTATTTCAAAAAATAGATTCTACATGTACGTAATTAGAATAGAGCTATAGTTTTTGATTTTTCATGTATTTCCTATCTTTTTTTTACGTGTGTATGGTGCAGGAGGTGTTCAAAGTGACGACTCTCCTTTCGTAAATATAAATTTATTCGATGTTTTAATGATCGTTGCAACTTCATACTAGAAATTTCATTTCTGATGTCGTCTGCAATTCTTCGTATATCTTTGGATTACCATGGCTGTACACGTTTAATGTCATATACCTAACTTGGAACACCCCTTTAGTGTAAATGTGTAAAAAAAATATGAGAAAGACATGAAAAATAAAAAACTATTGCTCTATTCCAGAATGTAGAATCTATTTTTTGAAATACACCTCATGCTGTTTTTACACAACAGATTCATTCCGGAAGAATGCGTGTAAATAAATATACTGTATATGTACCTATATGAAAAAATAGAATATTATTGTAGTTCTAGACCTACAATATACCATATAAAAATTCAAGTTAGAATCTTATCAGTTTTACATGTTTGCACTTTTTATTTTATAAACAGTGCACATGTATATAAAAATGTATTATATAAAGTAAATTATCATATGAAAAGATAGAAAATATCTCGGTCATCGTCTTCTTGCTCCGTTTGTGAAATTCTTTCTCTGATCTCTTGAATAAAAGTAACACTATCTAGTCACCCATGGTGCCGATGTTTTAGTGGTTTTAAAAACGAATTCAGTTATTAATTCTTGTGTTCGTGTTTCGACTAGGCGATTATATAATTTGGAAGAGACTATTAATGACTTCAGATCACATTGAAATTGTCGAGCTCGTTCCTCATTTGGATTATGTTTGACAAAAGAATTACTCAATTTACTACCACTTCAAGACCTTCATTGAAGACTTTTCATCAAAATTCGTTTTTTTCTAATTTGTGTTAAATCAAAATCGTGTACAAAAAGTTCGTGCAAAAACAGAATTGGGTGTAAATGAAAAACGAATGAACCAAGACCCATATTGTACATGACCTTTTTAATTCAGAATGACCTACTAAACATACTGGGAAAGTTATTCAGTTCCTTCCTTAGACACCCTGTATATGAAAGAGACCATGTAGCCCCCCCCCCCATAACAATTAAAATAAATTTTAATTGCGAGTTGAATAATTTGATTTTAAAATTACGTAAGTGTATGTAGGATATTATACAGAGACATTGACTAATGAGAACATTCGCCTTAATTTTTTGGAAAATTCTAACGTTTTACAATACCTTCATATTCATTTTATTTTCTGTATTTTAAGCATTTCAGTTCCAACAACAGTAAGTTCGTCGCTAATAATCGCGTGGTTTTTGGACGTTAAAAATGAAGAGTTTTCAAAGTAAAATTAAATATCAATTGTCGAGAACTGCACCAATTTATGTTTTAGTATTGTACGAAAATTATTTTTTAACAATAATATTTTAATCCGATAAACAGTGCAAGTGCCATGGAGAGGATATAGTAAAGCAGATGTGGAACGACAATACGCACAACGGAAACGTGGTGTTATTATGTACTTGTACGATTTTCCGCCCTTACTTCACAATTTACTAGAAGCTGGGCTGCAACTCGACGTCGAGAAAAGGACACTCGATATGAACCGAATGCGTAGATTCCTTCAAAGACTGGAGGTTTGTTTCCCCTTTTTTTCAGAGTATTCCTAAGTAGATTGAGGATGTTTATGCAAATTTACATTTATATAGAACAGTTTACATACTTGTAACAACATTAAATAGAAACTCATTACCTTGATGAGATGGATTTGATAAATAAAGACGAAAGCAGGGCTCCATTTTATTCTGACTTAATCAGTTGTACACCCCCGTCCATAAGTCACTGTTACTGGACACTTGATTGTTTTAAGTAAAATGGAAACCGATACAGAAACGCAATTTTTTGAAGCAAATTCAATGATTAATTTATTTTTCCGTAATAAATAATGATCTTTAATATAGGTCAAATATCTTTCAGAAGTACTTTACAAAAAGTACAAAATATTAAAAAATAGACAATGAACTTATATTATTTGTTAAACACCGCCCAGTAATTACAACCATCCTGATAACCCTTACAATATGAAAACTTTCGTACCCGGTAGCGACCTCTAAACGCTAATCAAATAAACAAAAATTATATACACTCATAACAGGGTACCCCGATATAATTTTAAGACTTCGATTTTAAGAATCACTCTAGTAAACATGTATCGAGTCTAACAAAATCTTTTTAGATGCAATACGAAGACGAAGAGCCAATGTACGTCGATCATCTCACGAATAATAATAATGAAACCGGAAAGACCTACGTCTTGCCGGTGACACGATCCACCGGTATGTCCAAGAGTAAAGGCGCGAAACTGACGAAAAGCGTGTCGGCCAAACAATTGTATTCCGCGAACACTTCCGAGTCCCCGACGTCACAGTATATATTCGCCAAACAGTTGCCGCCCAAGCAAAACGGGAACACGAAGACCGGGGTGGCGCACATCGAGCCGATAAACATATTCGCCGAGGATGTCAGACGCGGCGGCAAAGACAATGCACAGAAAAACACGAACATACTGTTCAACAAGCAGAACAATTACAAGAAAAGCAACTGTTCGTACTGCACGTCAGAAATGGCCGACGCTGTTCGTAACGAGGAAACGAACTCGGAGGAGAATCTGCGACCGTGGAACATCACCTATAAGAGAGTCAAAGCACCCCAGGAGAGTGCGGATTCGTGGGTGACCTCGTTGTGTTCGCCGCCGTTGATGGACTCCACCGACGACGAAACGTATAAAGACGCGAGAACAAATTTGAAACAACTGAAGAAAGCTCTGGCAGACAAGAGGGAACACTTCTTTTATGGAAGCGACTCGTCCCAATCTTCGTATCCAAGTACGTCATATACGCGTACCTTACAATTAGACTTCAACTCTTTTACGTCAGTTTAAGTTTACAAACTTAGTCGCCTTTTACCTTCATTTATAATAAACATATACCGCTGTAATACTGTAGAATACACAATTGTTTTGTATAGCAAGAAATCATAATGAAACTGATAATGAATCTTCTTGACAATATTGATAAGAAAAGTAATCAACAAATCCCATATCTGCGTTATAGCATGCCTTAAGTTTCACTCTTTCACGGATTAGAGCAAGTTCTTCAAATTAATGCTCGTTGAGCGCACACGTCGCCATATTTAATATATTTAAGAGAATAAGAATTGTTCATATTTGTGTAAACATATTAACGCTAGATGAAACAAGAAAAATGCAAAAATTTGAGGTCGAAATTAAATTACATTAATTTAAAAGAAATTTGAATTTTCGAGGTATCCTGGTTTGTCGTACATTAATTTATGAATTATCGTGATTATGCATATACGTTAAGAAGAATTTTTTACAATATTCTATTAGGCCCGAGAATTAAGAACAAAATACTCACACAAACTAAGAGCAGAGACTACGAACCACATAAGCCAGCCAGTCATAAAACGAGCCTCGAACCAAGATACAATAAATCGCCGGGTCAATATGATTCGTCCTGTATGAAATCATCGTGTCACCAGTACCGCAAGGTATAATTTTATAAAAAATATATACAGGGAGAATCGTCTGAAAGAGTACATACAAATATCCTTGAAAATTAAATACACAGATCATTTATTTATTTTTAAACTAGAAAATGACACTTGAATGAACCTATTCAGATAATTCACCCCGTGGATTTACTAAGATACTATTTTTCGTGAACAGTCTTCAGCAGAATATGTTAATCTTTGTCGTAGATACCATATTCTCACGTTCCGGTACCTATTAAAGATGCGATAGCACAGCCACAGGTATTAAATTCCGATCCGAAAACATTTTTCGAAACTTCGTTGTGGAGAAAGGAGAAGTTAATTTGTTTGGCTAAAATGAGAAAATCTTGTGGCGATGAATCAGTAAGAACTCAATTCTTCAGTCATATACAGTGGGGTAATGAAATTATTAGGGCATAAATTTACGATTTTAACTGTATTTTTTATAATTACGTATGCTAAGTTTAATTTATGTGTGTGTGTTTTTAGTGAACGAAAACCTTGATACTGTGATTTTATTTTTACACAAATACAAAAACATATTTTTCGTACTGTAGTACTAATAATTTGATCGCCCACTGTATAGATGATATAATTATTTGAATGGTACTAGATTGAACGACGAAAGAAACAACAGTATAATTATTATTAATCGTCTAATTGCAGGCACATTATGAACAAAGTACAGATGATAACACTATTGTATCTTCTGCCACTTTTACGAAAAATACAACGATGAATTCAAACTCGCCGAAACGCGGTGATACATATGTTCTACATAAGAAAACACAAGGTAATAACTTAGGATATGTTTTTTATCAAAGTATAGCTCTGTAGTATCTGTATCCATTAGCCCTGGATCCACTACTGCGTTAACAATAGAAATACATTCATCTTATTTGTCATAAGTCGACTGCGGATTTTCATGCAAAATGACATTTAGTAAAGTATAAAGACTATACGTGCATAAAATCCGTAGTCTAGTCATAAGATTATGCTGTTTTGGGAAAACATGTATTCTACACTTTTGACTTGTTTTTGCGTAATGAATCACCTCATTGTCGCTCATACCATTTTTTATGAAGGATGATGACTGTTTTCGAGCGCATATGCAAATTCACTTCACCGATACATTTTATCGAACGTAATATTATACACAGGTTTATCGTCCACTATGGATTAAATTGAAATAAACGGACGAAGTTGATCTAATTATTTTTAGATTGTTATGCATAAAAACATTTTCCTAAAACTGGTTAGAAATTGGTGATTACTTTTAGAATTTTCTTTGCTCGCTATTTTCTATAATTAACTCTATACCACATGCACAAATATTGATAACATTTGTAGACTTTATAAAGAAAAATAAGATTCAGATTTGTGCAACAAAATCAATATTTCTGAATAATACTAAACTGAAGACTAAACCCACGTGTACGTATTGGATTCGGAAATTGAATCACTGAAAAGTGGGCTTGATAAAATAGAAACGAAAAAATGGAAGTGGTAACATCGTTGGCACTAATCCGAACCTTATTGTAACAGATAATTGTTTAGAATTATCAGTTTCGTTTCGATCTCTTAGTTGGTGTCTTTCTTTTATAACAAACTGCTACCAATGTAATGTCTTATAACAAAATGGTACCAATATGTATCCTCGTGATAGAATGGTACCAATATAATTTCACTGCTCCAAACGAAATTAGTATCAGATGATACTATTTTCACATTTCAAACTTCTTCGTATCTTCATAAACTGTAGTGATCAAGCAATTATTTACAGAAACGGAAACCAGCCAAGAAGGATATTCAGCAGTGTCCGAAGATGTAAACGATTCGTCGGGTAACAACTTGCAAGTCCTGAAAGACGCTTTGGATCGAGCTACGAAAATCGTACGATCCGTCACGCCAAACTCCGATGTATCGTGTCCGTCTCCGCCATTTAAAACTTACGCAAACTTCGAGATCACTGTAGACGATAGCCAAACGACCAAATCCATTTTTGAAGACCTGTACAATTTGCAAGAAAACAACGTCAACGAGGAGATTAAGACGATCGAGAGATCGACAAGAGACGATACATTTTTGTTCAGTAAAGACATCGGCCAAGCAACAACGAGAACGATGGACACCAACGAAGAAGTCACGAGGGAGTCCGAAAACGAGGTTACCACCAACATCACCAATGACGACAATCCCACCCACTCGTTCGAGACAACGTACACCAGAAATTTTGTCTGTGAGTCGATCGCCGAAGTATCAAGCGAATTTAACAGTTCCTATAATGACATAAAAGCAGACAAGACATCCTATAGCAACACAAACATTACTATTGAAGACCTAACAAAATCATCGGAACATGCTCAAGGCACACCATCAACGACTGAACAGAATGATGCCGGGTATAATAGAAATAATGAAGAAGACGAAAGGAGGCCTAGATTATCGAATTTTAATTTAATGTTCCTGAACGACTCCGCAAAAAATAAAAACTGTAACTCGTGCCACCAAAGTGCTTTACCGAGGCGACGTTCTTTGCCGGCGGCACTGAGCCAATTAAGGCTAACTAATAACTCGGCGTTGGGGAAACTACCTATACGCAGAGGGGTAAGCATTTCGTTAGATGTAGATTACTTTCTTATTAGTGGTACCAGGTATTAACCTTTTATGAAATCAGATTTTTTGTATTATATAGGATGGTGCACATCAAACTGGCCCTAAACACAAAATACAGTTTCACGGTTAATGTACTGTCCATTTGAGTTACATTCGGTACAGTAAATAAACGGTATCTTTAACTTGAAAAGATTTTCATTTCAACAATTTACACATTTATTTCACTGAAGTCATATGCATACACGCGACATACGGAAAAATGAAACATAACTTAAATATTTATGTTATGTTTGCAGCCGGTTTTATGTACGCTACTCTGTATATTTTTTTTTATTTATTGTTTCCCATCGTACCTGGAGGAAACTTCCGAACAAGTTGATGAGACATTCCTCATGAGAATAAGTCCAAACATGATATTCTTTGAACAGTTTTTCATGATGCCTAATGTGCAATTGTTTTACAATAATTTTACGGTCTTCACAATCAAGGGGTTAATTTGACAAAAATAAGGAAAGATTTATTTTTAAATTATTTTATTTACTCAACACACTAATGAATATACATATAATCCTATTGGATTGCTGGTAGGATTTTTGTCCCAGATCCACATGACGCCTTGAAGACGGCTTAAAGGCGCCTTAGACCTCAAATAGCCGTAAAATGGGCGTCTTCAAGGCGTCATGTGCTATCTGGGTGTATGTATGGTTCCATAGTATTTTAATCACTTATAACTAAATTTTGCTATTGTGTATATATGAAGAGCCTTAATACTGATTATATTTTGGAAAACAGACTGTAATTGAAACACATTTTTAATTGATCTGATGCGAAATGGCATGATATAAAAGTAGGATTACTTAACTTGTATTTTCCTGAAATAATAAAATTTACCATTTATTTAAAAATTGCAGTACAATACCATAGGTTTCTATAAAAATAAATACCAAAAATTCAATACAAATATTAAAAATTTGATGTTATAAGTTTATAGATTGCTATTATTATTATTATTATATCATATAGGTCATTGTTGTTTGTTGTCAAAGTAGTACATATTTTTGTACCACCTTTCATACAATTTTGTGTGACTATTTTGTTGCAGGGTGTTCCAGATAATACTGTTGAAGATTTATATATAGACGACGAATTTGGTGACAGTTTAAACGTTAACATGGTTTTGTTAGATGAAGATTTATCAATTGATGAAGATTTCTTGCCAGACTTATCAGATTTAGATATTATAAAATAATCATTATCATTTCTCTTATAATAATTTATTAAATTCTAATTTTAAAAAAATACAATAAATGTATTTTATGTTCATATCATAAATATTCATGTAATAGTATTAGATGATACTATAATAGCATATAGTAGTATTAGAGTACTCTAAGACTTAAAACACATCAACAATTTCATGTAAAGCTGAAATATATGTAATAAATATAACACCATTTATATAAAAAATATGTGATAACAAAAATAAACGGTTTTAATATAAATCCTTAATTGTAGTCAATTTATATATGTACAAATAAAACATTTTAATTAGCAAAATATAATATTTGGTGTGCAAAAAGTAGTGTATTTGCAATATAAAAAATACATAACATCGTCAAACAAAACGAACTGTTGAATTTGAAATAAATTTCGTATTTCCTGCACCTTAATTTCTACAAGTTGATGCAAGATGTCAACCACAATTTTAGCAGTTTTCAGTAATTCTTTTCGAAAGCTTTTAAAATACTAAATTTAATTAAATTGCTAGACCAAATACAGAAACAATACAATACATTGTCTTATTTTCCCAACGAACTGTACAGCTGCCATCAGTAGCATTATCCCAAAAGCAGGAGCTTGCAGTGTGTAGTCCAGCTCCATTCTTTTGCATAATAACGCAAGTGACTGAAAACATTTTTATTATTTGCAAAATACTAATAAAAACGTTTTAGTATATTATTAAAAAATCACACCTATATATTTAAATGGCTTCTGTGATTTTGTTAGATTTCCCAAACATGCTTCAACAACATTTGATGTCCACTGATTTACTTTATTATGTTGATAAGCATTTCCTCCGATCGAAACTTCAATGGCTTCCTTGATGATCTTACTTACTTCATCTACTATAAACTGGGTCTGAAATAATATGCTTGACTTATATTCAAGTATTAATTACTATATGTATAAAATATAAAATACACTGTTACTGCGCAATACAGTACAATCTAAGTATATATCACAGAAATGAGTTACACAGGGCATCACTGATATGTGTTCAAATACTGTTAAATACTGATAGGAGAACTCACAGAGAACAAAACACCTATGATATTATGTGTAATTTGCTTCCAGTTTACAGCCATAAAACTTAAAAAAGTAACAATTATCATTTTGAGATTCAGAATAGTTTATGCACATCAATGAGACAAATGTTCAAATATTAGTTGTACCAATAAGTAATAGACTATTTTGTTTGCATAAAATTGTGATATAATTTGAATTCAGAACATATACCAGACCTTTTTTCATAAAAATGATGGAAAATGATCGAAAACAAGGATGCATATCAGTGAAATAGCACAGCCTTTTGTTTTTCTGAAAAATGAATTTCAAATTTTGCGAAATATAGTGGATAATTTATTGGTACACTTAATAGATCATTGATCCAAACATTCTAGGTATTGAGAATGTGTCACCATGTGGCATGATATATCTTGCTGCACTGTAAAATTCTTACAGGCATCACTTCTACAAATATATTGAATGGATAAAGTTATCAGTGTTTTGTTCCTTATTGAGCAATAATAGAAATTTTTTTAATGAAAAATGGTTTGTCCTGCAATATGTTACAAGAATTCAGAAACACAAACAGGTCAATGCTACATTGCTTTTGGAGAGTTTATGGATTGGTTAGCATTCAGCAGGGCTTATTGTAAACAATGTGCACATCCAAGTATGACAAAATAAGTTAATGAATCTGTGGAACATCTATTTAAAATGAACCTTGTGCTATATTACATCTATATGCACGAATTAAGATCTTTTCAACAAATCTCTTGAATTTATGAAGTTTCGTAACAACTAAATTATGAAAGATGAAACAGAATGTATTAAAGTGTTATCATTGCAAAATAAAAGATAAACTCAACGTTATATCATCGGAAATTTTTTGTTCTATTTGAACTACTAGTTCGATAAGATAACATCTTATGCATAATATAATTATATGTTATACATAGGCATTAATAATGTAATTAATTTTTGTTTCTATATATTGTTACTACTATGTCTGCACATGTATAATATACAACTATAAAATTTTAAGTATAATTGATAACATAAAAAGTATTCTTCTATTTATTTATACATGTTTTCTATATGAATACTTTTGTCTCTCACAATACGTAACTAATGAATACATAAATCCTCAGTTTTGCACTATAAACACCTGTTAGTATTTGACAGTCTAAAAGTCATAAACTAAGTTCAAAAGATGCTTACTAACCTCCTCTTGCATATCTTCCATCATCTTGTCAAATTTTAAATAGGTTGCGCACGGACCAACGAATCTTTACACGCGCCCAAAAATAATAAATTCCTTCAATCAAAATATAATTAATATTTTGACATCATTAATACCGAATGCTACATCATTTATAGCGATAGTACATAGTTATAAGCAAAAGAATGATACAAAATGTAAATACATGTTTTGCTAATTTCTATTTCTTCATACCTTACGTATTCTTGCTTATAAAAATACCGGTAAAAATATATTATGCGATCTTTTCCATTTTTGACGTACAAACCAGTACAAACTATTAACAAAACCTTCAGCAACGCCTTCACTGCGGATTACAGGCAACAGGATCACTGCTGCCAACAATAATAGTGAATAATACTCGATTGCTGACGACAGATCAGACAGTATTCACCGTTGTATGCATAGAATCAGGACTACTTATTAAAATCTACTGGGTCGATATTATGAATTAACAATTATCCAATATGGAATTTTTTATTAATATTTACTGATCAGAGTCCGAGTCGAAACTATCTACATATAGCACCATCTACAGTGAAGATTTTACTTGTCGGTATGGTCATTAGCACAGACGAGATATAAGAATAGACCTAACATCATATGGGACTTTGTGTCTCATGTTCTGAAATACCGATAGTGTAAAAAGTCAGGGATTTTCTGCTGCCCTCTACTATATTATTGACATTATGGAATATTTTTTTGTCTGCAACCAATTTTGAAACGAACTAGGTGATCATTTTGTCATACACAGGTGTTTATAACTGGTGATGAATGAATTGTTATTGTTAGTCTTGTTTTCTCAAAAGTGAATGATAATTAATAATAATAAATCGAAGAGATCGCTGCCGCATGTGGCAAACGGATTCTCCTCTGTCCGTTCGTTGTAAACGTATTAAAAAAAGGTCTTCTCACTTTACATAAAGCAGGCTTGGGTGCTTTTGATTTGAAATGAAAACTACAAATAAAAACAGCCAATATTTATTCCAAATAAAATAACAGATAAGTTTATTTGAAAATAAGGATATATGCAAATAAATTCCAAAATCTTATTTCAGAAATAAATTATTTCTAAATGATTTATTTGCCAAATATTTGGTTATTTAAAAATTTAAAAATAATTATGCAAAATAAAAAATAATAGATTTTCGAATATAATGAATATATTTGTCATTGTAAATTAAAAAATATTTTGTTCGTTTAAATTTTTGGGACAATACGTAGATAAACGTGTTCGTAATAGCATATTAAAAGTAATTAGTGTTTTGTACGCGAACACAAATTCCGACAAATCCGATCCCGAACCTGCACAACCTCGGTGAAATCGGTATGGAAAACTTTGGAGGTTTATTTTTATTTTATTACTAATAATTCTAAGATATATGTATATTGCATATATTTGTAGCATCCTGAAAACGGGTATTAACGAGCCATTCCACGTCGAAACGCACAGAACTGCGATCTTAATGACCGATTTTTTTCGAATTTGCAGCATTTGTTGATAACCACAAGAAACTAAATTGTGTAAAATTTTAGTTTCTAATCTTGAACCGTTTCCGAGAATTTTCCTTGCGGGAATGCCTTACCGTAATGAGCCATCTCGTGGCCACGGAATTCCGGGAATCGGGTGACGTCACGGCGTGCGAGCGAGAGCGGTAGAGCGAGCCGCGGTATCGGTGCTCTCCGTCGGTATTGACGCGTGCCGAGGAATTTCGGTGGTCTATGGGGGGAGGTGTGCGAGCGAGAGAGTACGGTAGAGCGTGCCCAGTATCGGTGCTCTCCGTCGATCCAACGCGCTAGTGAGTGCGTCACCCAGTTTATTGACTTAGCCGTGTACGCCGTGTACCAAGGTCGTACCATCCCGTGCAGGTCTGTGCTTGCTTCCTCACTTTCTCGTGAACCGTCGCGG